GGGCTGATCACCAGAAGAACCAACCCTGTGATTAGAGGGTTGGAACTTTTAGCCTCATCCTCTGACTTCTGGGAAGGGAAAGTGAGTGGGGATTGAGTTCAGTCATATAACCAATGATTCAATCAATTATGCCTACATAACGGAAGCCTGTATAAAAACCCTGAAACAACAAGGTTTGGAGAGCTTCTGGACTGGTGAACACATCCACGTGCTGGGTGCGACATGTGTCTGGAGAGGTGTGGAAGTTCTGTGCCTCCGCCCCATACATCTCCATTTGGCTATTCCTGACTTGCATCCTTTATAAGAAAACTGCCATCATAAGTGCAGTATAGCCCTTTCATGAGTTCTGTAGTCATTCCAGCAAATTACCATGAATCATGGGACTCCCCAGCAAATCTGTAGCCAGGTCAGACAGTAGTGTGGGTAGTGCGGGTAGTCTGGGGACCTGGGACTTGTGTTTGGCATCCGTAGTGGGAACAGGCTTGTGGGAACTGAGCTCCTTAACCTGTGGGGTCTGCACTAACTCCAGTTAGCTAGTGTCAAATTGAATCGTGGGACACTTGGTCAAAGAATTATTGTTGGGGCCGGGCGCAGTGACTCAAGCCTGTAATCCCAGCACTTTGGGAGGCTGAGACGGGCGGATCGCGAGGTCAGGAGATCGAGAACATCCTGGCTAACACGGTGAAACCCCGTCTCTACTAAAAAATACGAAAAACTAGCAGGGCGAGGTGGCAGGCGCCTGTAGCCCAGCTACTCGGGAGGCTGAGGCAGGAGAATGGCGGGAACCTGGGAGGCGGAGCTTGCAGTGTAAATTGCTAGCGAGACTCCGTCTCAAAAAAAAAAAAAAAAAAAAAAAAGAATTATTGTTGGAAAGTACCAGGATACTTAAATTGTTTGCTCAAAGACCCTCCCACTTTGAATAGACCCAACCAACACTTACTCCAGTGACTCTTATGTGAGCTTCCTGGCTGATCTTTTTTTTTTTTTTTCTTTTTTTAAGACAGAGTCTCACTGTGTCACCCAGGCTAGATTACAGTGGCATGATCATAGCTCAGTGTAACCTCAAACTCTTGGGCTCAAGCAACCCTTCTGCCTCAGCCTCCTGAGTAGTTGGGACTACAGGTGTGTACCACTATGCCCAGCTATTACCACTATGCCCAGCTATTTTTGCATTTTTTGTAGAGACAAGATCTTGCTATATTGCCCAGACTGATTTCAAACTCCTGGGTTCAGGCAATCCTCCTGCTTTGGCCTCCCAAGTGCTGGGATTATAGGCATGAGTCACTGCACCTGGCCCCACTTCCACTTTTTTTTTTGTGGTTACACATTCCTTCTACACACATGTCAATATGTTCACATGGTCAAGTCTTGCAGGTGTGAGAGCCATTCTTTGCATGTCTCTGCTCCTGTCCATTCTGTTTTGATGACACAGCTTAACTTTAGCCTGCAGTATTGATAGCTCAGTCTTTGTTTAGCTCTGGGCCTTGGCACCCCTGGCCTCTTTTGGAGTTGTGGCTAGAAGTCCTCAAATGCTTCCTGGCTTGTCGTGCAAACCTCATAAGTATCTTTATATTGTACATCTCTGGACTGCAGAGGTGTGACTGTCCAACGTCACCATGATTTAGCACTATCTGGAATAACCTGCTTCTCCAGTCTCTGACTCAGCTAGTTCAAATGTCTGCAGTATTTCCTCTCATTCTCACCCACTGGGACACTAAGACCCACTCCACTAGCAGAGGGGACTGATAAATTAGAGCTGAATTACATACAACTCCCACCCGCCAAAAAAGCCCCTTAACTGCATGTTACAAGCTATGGTGTAAAAGTCCTTCCTTGTAAGAGACAAAACAAAAATTCCAGAGAGCCATAAAGTTGCTCAAATTCTGACCCTGAAATTCTACTTCCAGACCTAAGGAAACAATCAGAGATACAAAGAATTATGTAAAAGTTATAAACTGTAATATTATTTATGAAGTGGAAAAACTAGAAATAATCTAAATATCTAACAAAGAACAATATTATGTTTAAATTATATGATATGCAGTGATTTAAAATGTTTTTGAAGAAATTTAAAGACAAGCAAGGTCTCATAGCATCATGCTAAATGAACATAGTGGAATGTCAACTCTATACATTAAGGATCTAGGTAAAGTTAAGACATATATATTATGTGCATCAAAAAAGATCTGAAGAAAATCTCAAAACCATCATCAGAAGCTTTATTTTATTTTATTTCTGAGGTGGAGTTTCACTCTTGTTGCCCAGGATGGAGTGTCGTGGTGTGATCTTGGCTCACTGCAACCTCCGCCTCCCGGGTTCAAGCGATTGTTGTGCCTCAGCCTCCTGAGTAGCTAGGATTACAGGTGCCCGCTATGACGCCCAGCTCATTTTTGTATTTTTTAGTAGAGATGGGGTTTTGCCATGTTGGCCAGGCTGGTCTCAAACTCCTGACCTCAGCTGATCCGCCCACCTCAGCCTCCCAAAGTGCTGGGATTACAGACATGAGCCACCATGCCTGGTCTAGAAATTTTCATTTAATGTGAAATTATGACTAATTTATTTTCCCAAGTTATCAAAGTGAGTATATATTACTTTTGTAATCTGAATTTAGTAGTTTTCTAAAAGTACTGTCTACCCCACAGCACTGCTTGATGTCTTTTGAGTGACTCCAAGGAGAGTAGTCTTTTCTATTTTGGCTCTATCCATCTTTCCATTTTCATCGATCACTGTCTCCCACATACTGCCTTCCAGCCACATGGAACCTCTCACCATTCTTTCCACACAACAGGCCTTTTCATCAGTCTGTGCCTTGGCGTTTGGTGCTCCTTCAGCCTGGAATGCTCCTTACTTTCTTCCATACTCACTTTTCTTCCAAATGCACTTCAAATGCTAGTTTCAGGTTCCTGAAGACACAATTAGTCACTCCAGGTTCTGTGCTCTGTAGTTGTTTTACACCCGCTCCAGCATTTATCATGTGGTCATGTGACTCATTTACAACTTGCCTTCCCCACTAAATTGTGAGCCTGTCTTAGGGTAGGTGTATTATTTACTGTTGTATCACAAAGCTGACTATGTGCTAGGTAATGGAGATACAACAGTAAACAATACATCTAAATACACTTATTTAACATTCTTATTACAAAGAGTGCTAAATAGGTTAATTTAAACTTTACTGTTACCTCTTATTCAAAAAGAATCAAAGGCCAGATGCACTGTCACACTCTTGTAATCTCAGTACTTTGGGAGGCCAAGGCAGAAGGATTGCTTCAGCCCAGGAGTTCTAGACCAGCCTGTGCAACATGGTGAGACCCCATCTTTACAAAAAATTTAAAAATTAGCTGCACATGGTGGCATGTGCCTGTAGTCCCAGCTACTCGGGAGGCTGAAGTGGAAGCATTGCTTGAGCTTAGGAGGTTGGGGCTGTAGTTAACTGATCACATCGCTGCACTCCAGCCTGAGTTATGGAGGGAGACCCTATTTCAAAACAAAAATAAAAACCAAAAACAGGTCGGGTGCAGTGGCTCATGCCTGTAATCCCACCACTTTGGGAGGCCGAGGCAGGTGGATCACCTGAGGTCATGAGTTCAAGGTCAGCCTGACCAACATGGCAAAACACCATCTCTACTAAAAATACAAAAATTAGCCAGGTGTAGTAGTGGGTGCCTGTAATCCCAGCTACTTGGGAGTCTGAGGCAGGAGATTCACTTCTACCCTGGAGGTGGAGGTTGCAGTGAGCAGAGATCACACCATTGCATTCCAGCCTGGGTGACAAGAGCAAAACTCTGTCTCAGACAACAGCAACAACAAAACCCCCCAAAAGAATCAAACTACTGACTTAATAAATGGATGAATGAACTAGTGGCAAGGTTGACTACCAAAAAATAAATAAATAAATAAATAAAAAATTCTGTGGTTCTTGGCATCCAAGCTCAGAAAAGGAATGATGTTGGAAGTAAGCTCTGTGAAAGACTATTATACAGACCTGAAAATGAGATAATGTTGTAAATACCAGCAAAAGACATCCTGCTCTAGATGGCATGTCTTTGGAATTTTGAATTCTGTACCTCACTGCCTGATCATGTCAGGAACTATAAAGGGCCTAAGATTTGATTTTACTTGATTCACAAAGGCTAGTAAGTTAGGGTTTGCCACAAGGAGGTGCTGAATCTGGGGGACAAAAAGAACATGAAAGGGCTCCCCTGTTCCACCATCTCCTGAGATCGAATGTGTTCCCTCTCCAGGTGTTAGGGTCTCTGTGGCCATGCAGTTGGTGTGTCCCATCCAGTAGCCATGTCTACACTTTTCTCCAGTCGTGCCCTACTTGCATCCAGATATCTTGTCTAGAAGGGTCAGATGTAAGAGGGACAGGGGCATTTTTGCAAAATTAAGAGAACCATTATATCCTATCTTGGCCTGTGTAGAACCTTGTAGAGGGATCTAGAGAACAGTGTACTAAACTAAGTAGTCATTATCATCATGATATAGGACCATGTTAGTCCAGTCTAACTGAACCAGAATTAAATTTGAATTCCCTAGGCTGTCTTGTGGCAAGTAGTCGAAGGTGTTCTCTCCCCAGGGACATCTGAAGGGTATACTAACCAGGCTGGCCTGAGGACGCTGTTAGGGAAAAAAAGATGCATCGTGTTTAGCAATAGTCAGTGTAGAATCTTGGATTTTCAAAATAGGTTCTATAGCTCTCCACCCTTATGGTCCAGATTATCACCTAGGAGACCAAGAGGAGATGAACTCTTTCTGGGGAAGGGTGCATTTAGTGACCATACTGCCTTACTAAGGTGTGCAGTGAGAGTTAGGGTTAGAGTCAGAAATCTTTTTGAGTTGATTTTTGAGAAGGCCTTTCCAGTGTTCAAAATGATAGCAGATACCTGCAAATGGGAGCGTGAAATGTCCATTGAATACCTTGACTAGTGGTCCATTGCTGAATGGCCTTTGAAATCCCTTCTCCCAAGTCTCACAGGGGTGATGTGAGCCAGATAGATGTCACACATGCAGGGAGTTGTATTACAGGAGGGGAACACTGAGCTCAGGGACTCCACTGCTTTTATAGCAAACAGTAAGCAAGCTTGCTCTTTGTCCTGATGGGAGACATCCCTTCGTGTTTCAAGGTTGCTTGCTGCAACCTAACCCTGAGAAATGTCCTGGATAAAGAGTGGTGAGAGCCTTACATTCTTGGCATACTTAGCAAGGTGTGTAGGAGTATAAGAGCCTCGCAGAAAGGAGACTCCCAATAGATATGCTCTGTGAAATCATCAGTGCTCTCACATTCCATGCCAATGACCAACACTTATTAAAAAAAAAACAGTTGATCAAGTAATTCCAATGAAAGAAGAGGATCTCTTGAAGTAATACAAATTGCTCCCTTAATTCATTCTTCTTTTTTAGTGGTTTCTATCTAGTGTTTTTTCAACCATAAAATATTTTTTCTTTAGGCTCTCCAATTTTCTTCTAAAACAATAAAAGTGTCTTTCATGGGCCTCTGATGACTCAACTTCCTTTTTTTCTTAGGTAGTCTCCTGAAAACAAACACAGCATGGTTATTATTTATGAGCTGAAAATTATCACTACAAATGATTCATTCATCCATTTATTATTCCACAAACATTGCGAGGTGACTGCCATGTGCTAGGCACTGTGCTAGGTACTGGAGATATAAGGGTGACTGGATAGTTGAAACACAGTTCCTGCCCTCATGGAGTTCATTGTCTAGTAGGGGATATAGGCACATACAAACATCAATTCTATTTCATGGTAATAAGTGCCATAGTAGAGGTATTTGAGCTGTACTGGAGTATGAATTGGGTTCCCATGCAAAAAAAAAAAAAAAAAAAAAGGATGAATAATGCATATGACTGGGCAAAGGGAATAGGATGAGAGAGGGTTCAAGAGAATAAAAGAAACTGCTGCCCTCCTCTGCTATATGTATTCTATGACCTAGACTTAAAACTGATTACAGCCGCGTGCAGTGGCTCACATCTGTAATCCCAGCACTTTGGGAGGCCAAAGTGGGCAGATCACGAGGTCAGGAGATCGAGACCATCTTGGCTAACATGGTGAAACCCCGTCTCTACTAAAAATACAAAAAATTAGCTGGGCATGGTGGCACGTACCTGTAGTCCCAGCTACTTGGGAGGCTGAGGCAGGAGAATTGTTTGAACCCGGGAGGCAGAGGTTGCATTGAGCCAAAATCCCACCACTGCACTCCAGTCTGAGCGACAGAGCGAGACTCTGTCTCAAAAACAAAACAAAACAAAACCTGATTACAGTACTTGATGTACTTACTTTTTAATGATGGAGTCTCACTATGTTGCCCACACTGGACTCAAACTCCTGGGCTCAATCAATCCTCCTGCCTCAGCCTCTTGAGTAGCGGGGGCTACAGATGCACTCCACCATGCCAGGTAGCACTTCATTATTTTTGAGATGGAGTCTTGCAGAGTAAGTCACAATACATGCTTAAGATTCTTTTTTTAAACTGAGGACCTGGCTGGGTGCAGTGGCTCATGCCTATAAGCCCAGCACTTTGGGAGGCTTATAAGCCCAGTACTTTGGGAGGCACAAACCTGATTAATTTGTGTGACAGAAGTCCCATAGCATCCTTTTCCTAATTATTGTTTAAAGGTTTTCTTTAATTAATAGTCATGCTCCTAGAATCCTTCATAATACAATTTTTAAATGGTCATAATTCTTTTTTTTTTTTTTTTTTGAGACACAGTCTCACTGTGACGTCCAGGCTGGAGTGCAATGGTGCTATTTTGGCTCACTGCAACCTCCACCTCCTGGGTTCAGGCGATTCTCCTGCCTCAGCCTCCCGAGCAGCTGGAATTACAGGTGCCCACCACCACACTTGGCTAATTTTTGTATTTTTAGTAAAGACAGGGTTTTGCCGTGTTGGCCAGGCTGGTCTTGAACTCCCGACCTCAAGTGATCTGCCTGACTTGGCCTCCCAAAGTGCTGAGATTATAGGTGTGAGCCACCCCATTCGACCTGTAATTCTTTACTTCCCAAATTTTCTACAGTGATCATGTATAATTTTTTAGATAGAGAAAAATATAATTTTTTAAAAAAGGAGTGAAGGAAATAAAAGACAGTCATAAGACAACTGGCTCCTGAGTGGATATCAGCCTTGTCCATCCCTCCTGATCATTCAACCATTTCCAAGATAGCTGTCCCTTCCCAGAGCAGTGGGATATTAATGGCATGATGCCAGCAGTGCACTTCTAATCAGGGCACATTCTTTGGAGTCTGTGGAGTTTTTGTGGCCCTAAGCAAGAATACTAACCTTTAGTACCAGCCACATAATCTACATTACAGTAGTCAGGCAATTTTTCTGGTCTCCTTTGGGGAATCAGCCCTGAGCCCTAGCTGACAGGTTAAGAGCCTGGCTTCCTGACAGCCAAATTGCCCATCTTTCTAATCTGATATTTTGGTTATTTTAATTAGATAATTAACCTGGCTCTCTATGTCTCTGTTCTGCTGTCTGCTCCTGCCCTACAATTCTGAAATGGAGCCTCCTTCAAATCCTGACATCTGTTCAGGAAAGGTCCAATAATGCAAAATGTGATAAAATGAGGCATATCTGAAGGGTCCAATAGTGCAAAATGCGATAAAATGAGGCATGTCTGTATGTAGGTAGATAGTTTCTGTGATGGTGCTTAATTTCTCAACTGGCCCTTTAAGATTCAGCTCTCTGGAGCCTTCTCTGACTCTGCTAGGTCAAAGTAATTCATTTATTTGTTCATCAAACATGTACAATTGCCTACCCAACATTAGATACCGTGTTAGGTAATGGAGAAGGAGAATGATTAAGACAAGATTCTTGCCTTCCAGAGGTTCACAGTCTAGAAAAACAAAGAACTGTAATGGGGAGAATCGTTAAGGTATGCATAAAATACATACACAAGTGGATAGAAGCCCAAGATCTGACTTGGGGTCTTTAACGATGATTAGGAATTTGCCGAATAGATGTGAGGGACAGGAAGGAAACTGGAAAATATTTTAGGCAGATAGGACAGCATGTACAGAGGCATGGAAGGCAGAGGCTATATCTTAACCAGCTCTGCTTCCCTAATTTATGTAGGATAGTGCAGGGCACATGGTAAACACCTCTGAATATTTGTTGAAAGAAAGAGTGAATGGCTGCTTTTGTTACTAGAGGCTTCTATTTCAAAGGAGTGTTGACACAACTCCAGTAAACTTTTTTAAATTTAAATTTAGATTTAAAAAATCTAAAAACAAACACGATTTACCATTTATTAAGCTCAACTCTCACCGATATAATACCCAAGCTAGTTCTCTATGAGATCTTTATTCAAAAATGTATAGACACAGAGGGGGAATACACTATACACCAACAAAGTGGCTGCCTGACTCACAGTAATTCCTTTTCCTGTAAAATGTCTCTTTACATAGGGTCGACTCCCAGCAGCCACATCTCTGTCTTTTTACCCTGCTGTATCCCTCCTCCCCTATCCTGCCCCACCTACATAGCTGACCAATACAGGAGTAAACCATATGACCTGAAACTTGCCAAATCAGGGTCCTAAGATAAATTAAGGGGTATTATGGGAGGCTTGGCCATGATATCAGCCAGGAAAGGAAACGGTTTGCTATGAGACAGAACAAAGCTGACTCATTTAGAAGTCAAGACAGAATCCTAGCAGTGTTCCAGTCCTTGAATCTACCTTCCCCATGGCTCAGCTGCACCCTGTCCTTCCAGTGCCTATGTAAATAACCTCAGCATCCTTCCAATAAATTCCTCCTTTCTGCCCTAGCTGGTTTGAGTTGGATCTCTGTGACTTGTAGTCAGAAGACCCAACTAACACAGGGAATGAAGACAGGAACTAGGAGGCCAACTTACCCAGGCTCTCTGTGGCTTCCACACAGACACTAGGATACATGCCCTCAGTGTAAGTTGCCACCAGAAGATACAGATGGGTCTTCACGACAACCACACCAGCGTTCTCCTGGATAAAGAATAAAAGAGAATATTCTGCTCTTGGTTCTAATTACAGGACCAGTAGTCGTGCTCCAGCTACGTTTTTCACCATTTCCTGATTTCCGTATTCCATATATTTATATGTCTGCTTTTGGACTGTCCACTCTTTTCCACCAATTTTGTTGCCTTTCCTCAAAAAGTTTCAGACTGTTATAATAATGGTAGATGGATTCTGAAAAGTTCTGCAATTGTTTATCACATACCCCATCCCAATTAGAACAACTGATGTAGGCCGGGTGCGGTGGCTCCCGCCTGTAATCCCAGCACTTTGGGAGGCCAAGGCGGGAAGATCACCTGAGGTCAGAAGTTTGAGACCAGCCTGGCCAACATCATGAAACCCTGTCTCTACTAAAAGTACAAAAATTAACCAGGCGTGGTGGCAGGCGCCTGTAATCCCAGCTACTCAGGAAGCTGAGGCAGGAGAATCTCTTGAACCCAGGAGGTGGAGGTTGCAGTGAGCCGAGACCATGCCATTGCACTCCACCTTGGGCAACAAAAGTGAAACTCATCTCAAAAAACAAAAACAAAATCAAACAAACAAAAAGCAAAACTGGTGTAATGGAAAGGTCGTACATTTTGGAATTGGACAGCCCTGGGCTTGAATTCTAGTGCCTCCATTTTCTGCTGCGTGTGTAAGCAGTGTCCTCATCTTTAAAATGAGATTACAGATTATTTATAATGTGGATGAAGCAGCATGCCTAACCCATAATATAGGGCATCCAATGAATGATTTTCATCTCCTTCATTCCTTATAAGCCACATAGAGCTGAATTTTTTTTTTTTTTTTTTTTTTTTTTTGAGATGGAGTTTCGCTCTTGTTGCCCACCACACCTGGCTAATTTTATTTTTAGTAGAAACAGGGTTTCACCACGTTAGCTAGGCTGGTCTTGAACTCCTGACCTCAGGCGATCCACCCACCTCAGCCTCCCAAAGTGCTGGGATTACAGGCGTGAGCCACCGTGCCTGGCCACTGAGAGATGTTTTAAGCGCATAAATGATTATCTTTTTTTTGAAGGAGGATGTAGAGTATGAAGGCTGGACTGTATTGGAAAGAGTTCAGGCAAGGCTCAGTTAATAGATTCTGGAATGAACATTTCTCAAAACCAGGCTCTTGATAGGACTTTCTTTCACATATGTCTTCCTGGCACTAGACTGCTATCTCAAGACAGTGGCTCAAGACATTAATGGATTTAATCTGTTTTACAGAGAGGATCAGGCAGGGCAAGGAAAATTGGAGGCAAATTCTTTTCTTTTACTCAGCTCTCTTCAAATCTTGAGTGCTCACATTTTTGGCATAAAGAGAATACTCATCTGCCCGGACACATCTGTAATCCTTTTCCTTGAAATACAATCCTTCTCTTCGGGTTTGCAAAGGGTTCTTGGCAAATCCATTCACCAGTGTTCGGACATCACTGGGCATTACCTGGAGAGGTTACATAGTTAGAACAGGAGTCAGCCAACTATGGCTGGTGGCCAGCCAAATTTAGCCCACTGTTTGTTTTTTATGGCCTGCAAGCTAAGAATGGTTTTCATGTTTTTAAACGGTTGGGGAAAAAAAATCAAAAGAATAACACTTCGTGACACAAATTATATGAAATTTGAACTTCAGTATCCATAAATATAAAATTTTATGGGAACACAGTCACATTCACTCTTCTATGTATGGCTGTTTTTCCTTTACAATTGCAGAGTTGAGTGGTTGTGACAGAGACTCTATGGCCCTGTGCTGTAGTTTGAATCTCATGTTGAAATCTGATCCCCAACATTTTGGGTGGGTCCTAATGGGAGGTATTTGGATCATGGGGGCAGATCCCTCATGAATAGACTGATGCCTTCCCTGCGAGGTGGGGGAAGCTGTCAGTGAGTTTTCACTGTATTTGTTCCAGGAGAGCTGGCTGTTAGAAAGAGCCTGGCACCTCTCCACTTGCTCTCTCTTGCTTCCTCTCCCCCACTGTGATCTCTGCACATGCTGGCTCCCCTTCACCTCTGCCATGAGTGGAAGCAGCCTGAGGCTTTCACAGATGACTAATCTTCCAGGGAGTAGACCTGTGAGCCAAATAAACCTATTTTCTTTATAAATTACCCAGCTTCAGGTATTCCTTTATCTCAACAGTAAAAAGACTAAGCCTAGAAACCTAAAATATTTATGTAGCTCTTTACAGAAAAAGTTCATTTAAAAGTCATGTCTGGGCTGGGCACGCTGGCTCATGCCTGTAATCCCAGTACTTTAGGAGGCCGAGGCAGGTGGATCACCTGAGGTCAGGAGTTCGAGACTAGCCTGACCAACATGGTAAAACACCATCTCTACTAAAAATACAAAAATTAGCTGGGCCTAGTGGTGCACTCCTGTAATCCCAGCTACTTGGGAGGCTGAGGCACAAGAATCGCTTGAGAGGCGGAGGTTGCAGTGAGCTGAGATCGCGCCACTGCATTCCAGACTAAGCAACAAGAGTGAAATTCCATCTCAAAAAAAAAAAAAAAAAAAAAGGTCATGTCTGCTTCATGTTTGGAAGAATAGAAATAATAAGTAAACCAAGTCTTATGTCCAAACTTGTTTTTTCTTACATTAAAACCTGGTGATGCTACACACAGGCTCCGCTCCTGGATTTTGATGAGGGCTGCACTGTCCACATGCTTGGTTCCCAAGAGGGTGTCTAACAATAAGCTCTGCAAATGGCTCATGTTCCCTCAACTCTGAAAGGGAAAATGCAGTTGAAGCCATTGACTCTGGCTAGCTTTTAAAAGGCATGTGAATACAAATGTCCTCAGGACACTTCAGACAGTTCTAAGATCAGCAAGTGTACTTTGAAAAGACACAGAGTGAAAACGGTGGTCCATCATTCAGGGCCCACCAATACCCAAAGAGAAAAACAGAATCGTAGAAAAATCACAGCTCACACAGAGTAGGTTATGAAGCTGAGTTTGGAAAATCACAGCCTCATGATTTTCTGGCTATGTCAATGGTTTACATCAGGATCATCTGGGATTTAAAAACAAACATTGTACACTGAGAAAAACCCTGTAAAATAAAAAAATAAAAAAAACCAAAACCCAGGATGGAGCGCTACTCCGCTAAGTTAAATACGACTAAAAGAGATACGCGTGGCCATAAACCCACACATTCCCTTCCCGGTGACCTGCATCAGCGCCCACTATGAACGCTGATCAACATCCCAACGGACTAAAAACACCTTGAAGGCACTTAAACCCACATTTCCCGCACAAGTCCCCAAGCCTTGGACCCCCCTCATCAGGACCTCCGGCACAGGCGCCCCTTTCCCGCCACTGCCTTCCAGTGGTTTGGTCCCCGAGCAGGACCGAAGGCGGGGCAGGGGGTGGTGAGCGGTGAATTCCCCGGCACCGAGGACTAGAGGGAGCGGACGCCACCCCGCTCTCTGGTGCTCCGCAAGGGGCCGGCGACCAAGGACCTGCCCGTCAACCGACGCGGTTGCGGGTGGGTGGCGGTGGCGGGATTGGCCGGGCCTCGCGCCGGTCACCAAGAAGCAAGGACTCCAGCCCCTTCCGCAAATCAAGACCCGCCAGCTAGAGCCGCCGCCCAATCCCCTTTGGGCCTGAAGCAGTTCTCCGCCGCCCTGGCGCCTCCCGCGCGAACTCGCTGTGGAACCCGCGGCGGAGGGGGCGGACGGTCTGCGCGGCGCTGCGTCCGGGAGACAGTGGGCGCCAACATTCGCGCGTTCCGCGCACGGGGGCGGGCTCCCTTCCAGCCGCAGCGGGACGACTCCGGGGCCGTCGGGCCGGGCTCGAGTGTGGAGCAGGACGGCCGCGGGCTTGCTGGCCTTGGGAGGGCAGAGAGGTGCCTGTTGCGGCCGGCGACCTCCCTGCCAGGCCGGGCGGTCCCCGCGCACAACGCGCCTGCGCGGGAGGCCCGCGGCCCAGGGTCTGGCGTGGAGGCCGCAGGCCCCCGGCCTAGCGGGTGGGAGGAAGGGCCGGGAGTGGGCGCGGTGGGTGAGAGCGGGTGCGGACGCTGACGACATCCCCGTCTCACCCGGGCCTCGGGGAGGACTTCGGGCCGCGCGGAGCTCGAAGACTTGAACAGTATGACCAAAAGCCCCTCCCTGCCTTCTCTAAGTAGCTCAGCCTGTGTTTCTCTGGCCGGAAAGTTGCAGTTCTCCCCACTCGAGGCCACCAAAGTCAGAAAAGTGCTGCAAATGGGACTCCCAGAGGCCAGGCTGAAGCTGCCACACTGGCTGGAATGGGCCACCTTGGAGGGGGACGTGGGAATTCATTCCAAGGGACGGGGGTTTCTTTCAAAGAGCATGTTGCCTGCTTACAAAGGAGGCTGGCTCTGAAGCCGTCATCTGGAGTCTGTAGTGAAGGCCTTTTGTTAGGGAAACTGGATGGTTCGTGTTCAAAATCCATTTTGCGTGTGTGCAAGGATACAGGTGGTATTAAACAGAAGAGAAAATCAGATGACTGTGAAATTTTCAATACTAAATAAGATGATTTTTAGTTTTTCTAGGGGCACTATTTATTTGTGACCACAATGAAAAATGTAGACAGTGATGATCTGGTAACTGGCGCACTTCCCAAGCTCAAGAGCTCAAAAGAATGGTTGGAGCCCAAGCCTCTATGTTTTATGGAGGTATATAACAAATAGTGTGGGATTTGGAGATTTTTTTACTTGGGTCGTTGCAGTGGGAAGTGACTTGTGCTAAATATATTGTTTTTTCTATTGTTTGTTTTTATTTCATTCTGTTTATTATTCCCTTCACTTTACTAACTTTGTATATTCACTTTGCTGTTTTTTTCCTAACATCTTAAGGTGGAATCATAGGTCATTGATTATATACCTTTTTAAATGTAGCATAGCTGTAAGTTTCTCTTGAGGTACTGCCTTAACTGCATCACCCAAATTTTGATATGATGTATGTATGTATGTATGTATTTATATTTGAGGTAGGGTCTTGCTATGTTGCCTAAGCTGGAGTGCAATGGCACGATCATGACTCACTGCAATCCCCGCTTCCTGGAATCAAGCCATCCTTCCACTTCCTAGTAGCTGAAACTATAGTCGCACACCACCATGTCTGGCTAATTTTTATATTTCCTGTAGAGATGGGATCTCACTGTGTTGCCTAGACTGATCTCCAACTCCTGAGCTGAAGCAATCCACCTACCTTGGTGTTCTAAAATGCTGGGATTATAGCTGTGAGCCCTTGTGCCCAGCGAGTTATATTGTTTTTAGATTGTAGTTTCTTTTTTCTAAACAGCTTTAGTAAGATATAATTGATATACAGTAAACTGCATATATTTAAAGTGTGCTGTCTGGTACTGTGGCTCATGCCTGTAATCCCAGCACGTTGAGAGGCTGGGGTGGGAGGATCGCTTGAGCCCAGGAGTCCTGGACCAGGCAAAGCAATATACTGAGACCCTGTCTCCACAAACGAACAAACAATAATAGCCAGGTGTGGTAGTATACACCTATAGTCCCAGCTGCTTGAGAGGCTGAGGCAGGAGGAGCGCTTGACCCCAGGAGTTTGAGGCTGCAGTCAGCTGTGATTGTGCCACTGCATCCCCGCCTGGGTGACAGAATGAGACCCTGTCTCAAATAAAGTATACAAACTTGGTAAGTTTTGACACACGAAAACATCACCACAATCAAGATGGTGAACATACTCAGTACTCCCAAAGCTTCCTGACTATTCTGTTGTAATTCCTCCCTCTCTCACATCTCCCCACCACTGCTTTTCTTTCTTTCTTTTTCTCTTTCTCTTTCTCTCTTTCATTCTTTTTCTCTTTTTCCTTTTCTTTTCTTTCTTTTGCCCTGTCACTCAGCCAGGAATGCACTGGCATGATCTCGGCTCAGTGCAACCTTCACCTCCCGGGTTCAAACGATCCTCCTACCTCAGCCTCCCGAGTAGCTAGGATTACAGGCCTGTGCCACCACACCTGGCTAATTTTTTTGGATTTTTAGTAGAGATGGGGTTTCACCATGTTGGCCAGGCTGGTCTCAAACTCCTGACCTCAAGTGATCTGCCCTCCGCGGCCTCCCAAAGTGCTGAGATTATAGGTGTGAGCCACCGTGCCCAGCCTGCTTTGCTTTCTGTCACTGTAGTTTCGTTTGCGTTTAAAAAATTGTATACAAATGGAATCTTCCAGTATATATTTCTTTTCCTTCTGTTTGGTTTCTTTCACTCATCACAATTATTTTGCCCCTCACCCATGTTGTATGTATCAATATTTCATTCCTTTTTTGGTTGAATGCTATTCCCTTATATGGATATATCCCAATTTGTTCATCCTGTTTATGGACATTTGGGTTGTTTCCAGTTTGGGGCTATTACAAATAAAGCTGTTATGAACATTCATGTGTGTGTCTTTGATGGACATATGATTTCATTTCTCTTGGGTAGATATTTAGTTGTGGAATGACTGGGTCATATGGTAAATGAATTTTAACTTTTTATGAAGGTGCCAAACTAGTTTCCAAAGTCATTGAATTATTTTGCATAACCACTAGTAGTGTGTGAGAGTTCCAGTTGTTTCATAATCTAGCCAACATTTGGAATAGTTTTATTTACTTATTTATTGTATGGCCTTTTAAACTGAAGACATTTTCAAAAGATATATAGTGACATCTCATTGTGGTTTTAATTTGCATTTCCTTAATGACTAATGATGAGCATCTTTTCAAGTCTTACTTGCCATTTATCTGTCTTCCTCTTAGGCGAAGTGTTTGTTCAAATCTTTCGCCCACTTTAAAATTGGCAATTTTAGGTTGGGTGGTTTGTATTCTTATTGTTGGACTCTTCTTATTGAGATATAGTTTATATGCCGTAAGATTCACTACTTTTTTTTTTTTTTTTTTTTTTTGAGGCGGAGTCTTGCTCTGTCGCCTAGACTGGAGTGCAGTGGTGTGATCTCGGCTCACTGCAAGCTCCGCTTCCCGGGTTCACGCCATTCTCCTGCCTCAGCCTCCCAAGTAGCTGGGATGACAGGAGCCCACCACCAAGCCCAGCTAATTTTTGTTTTTGTATTTTTACAAAAAAAGGTAGAGAGGGAGTTTCACTGTGTTAGCCAGGATGGTCTCTATCTCCTGACTTAGTGATCTGCCTGCCTCAGCCTCCCCAAGTGCTGGGAATACAGGCATAAGCCACGTGCCTGGCCAAGATTCACTAAAGTGTACAATTCAGTGTTTTTTATTTTTTAAAAATTCAGAATTTTAATTTTCAGTGTTTTTTAGTATATTCCCCAATATGTGCAACTGTCACCACTATCTAATTCCAGAACATTTAATCACTCCCAAAAAGAAACCTCACACCTTTTGGCAGTCACTCTCCATTCGCCTCCCTCTCTGGCTGCTGGCAACACTCATCTACTTCCTGTCTAAACAGATTTGTCTACTCTGGACATTTTATACAAATGGAATCATGTAGTCCTTAGTGACTGCTTTCACTTAGTATAATGTTTTCAAGGTTCCTCCATGTCATAGCATAAGCAGTACTTTATTCCTTTTGATGGCCAAATAATATTCCATTGTCTGAGTATCACATTTTGTTTATCCCTTCATCAGTGGATGGACATTTGGGTTGTTTCTGTTTTTTGCTATTATGAATAATGCTGCTATGAACATTTGTGTATAACTTTTTAGGTAACATATGATTGCAGTTCTCTTGGGTATGTAAGCTAGGAGTGGAATTGTTGGGTCATATGGTAACTATGTTTAACTTTTTGAGGAACTGCTGAACTGTTTCCCACAGCAGTGATACCGTTTTAAATTTTTATAGCAATGTGTGAAAGTTACAATTTCTCCACTGCTCAGAGTTCGTTGAACTTCTTGTATCTGTGGGTTTATAGTTTCTGATAAATCTGTACATTTTTCAACCATTCTTTCTTTTTTTTTTTCAAGTGAGTCTCACTCTGTCACCCAGGTTGGAGTGCAGTGGCATGATCTCAGCTCACTCCAACCTCCGCCTCCTGGGTTCAAGCGATTCTTGTGCCTAAGCCTCCTGAGTAGCTAGGATTACAGATGTGCACTACCATGCCTGGCTAATTTTTGTATTTTTAGAAGAGACGAGGTTTCACCATGTTGGCCAGGCTGGTCTTGAACTCCTGACCTCAAGTGATCCACCTGCCTTGGCCTCCCAAAGTGATGGAATTACGGGCATGAGCCACCATGCCTGGCCTATTTCGTAAAATATTTTTTCTATTCCATCTACTCCATCTTTTGGGAAATACAACTGTATGTACAATAACCTGCTTGAAGTCCTGTAGCTCACTTATATTCTGGTTATTTTCTTCAGTTTTTCCCCCGTGCATTTCATTTTGGAAAGCTTCTGTTGCTATGCTTTTAAGTTCACTAACTTTCTGTAATGTCTAATCTGCTAATAAACCTACCTAGCATATTTTTCATTTCAAGTATTATAATTTTCATCCATAGAAGGTTTATCTGGATCCTTTTGTTGCTGTCTTTTGTTTGTTTGTTGCTGCTGCTGTTGTTGAGACAGGATCTCGCTATATAGCCCAGTCTGGTCTTGAATTCCTAGCCTCAAGTGAGCCTCCTACCTTGGCCTTCCAAAGCACTGGGATTACAGGTGTGAGCCATCATACCTGGCACTTAGTTCTTTTTCAAACATTTTCTTCTGTCTCAACATGTCTACTCTTCCTCTAGCTTCCTTAACTTATGAACTACAGGAATAATAATGATTTTAACGTCCTGGTATAATAATTATAGTGTCTCTGTCATTTTGGGGACAGTTTTGGTTAATTTTCCTTATTATTATTATTGGTTAAATTTTCCTATTTCTTTGTATACCTGGTGATTATTGGTTAAATTTTCCTATTTCTTTGTATGCCTGGTGATTTTTCATTGAATGCAAGACTGAATTTTAACCATGTTGAGTGCCAGATATTTTTGGTTTGCCATAAATGTTCTTTTTTTTTTTTTAAGTACAAGTGCACAGATTTCCCATAAATATTCTTCATTTTTCCCCTCGGATTCAGTTAAGTTACTTGGACACAGCAGGATTCTTTCAGGTCTTGCCTCCGAAGTTTTGCTAGGCAGGACCACAGCAGTGTCTGTCGTAGGGCCAATTTTGTTTCAGTACTGATACAAAACCTTTCCAAATACTCTACTCTATGCACTTAGAACTATGGGATTTTTCTTCCTCTGGCTGATGCTAAAGGGAACGAATACTCCTGGGACTGTGTGACCTCTCGGGATTGATTCCTTAATTCTTGCAGGTGTTTCTTTGCCCATTGTTCCTTTGGGTATTTTTCTCACAGGCATATAGTGTTTACCATCAGCTGAAGACTCAAGGGGACCTCTGCGGACTTGACTCTGCAGATCTCCAGAGCTCCATTCTTGTAGCCTTCCTCCCTCTAGTACTCTAACCTATGAACTCCAACTGCTCTGGCCTCTCCAGACTCCCTTCCCTACTCCTTAATTCAGGCAGACAGCTGGGCTGTTTGTTTTCTGTTTCTCAGGGGCCAGGGGCCACTGTTCTTCTTTGCCTGATGTTGGATATCTTGGAAACTGTTGTTTCATCTATTTTATCTTTTTTTTAAAGTTGTTTCAGGTGGGAGAGTAAGTCTGTTTCCTGTTACTCTGTCTTGTCCAAAAGTGAAAGTTCTCATCCAGACATTATTTTTTCAAACAGTTGTTTTCTGTTCCGTTCTTTTACTCCTCATTTCTGCAACTCTGATTATCCATTTGTTGAATCTTTTGATATTATCTCATATGTCACTATGACTCTGTTCATTATTTTCTAATATTTCTTCTTCCTTTTTTTCAGATTGGGTAATTTCTAATGATCTGTCCTCAAGTTCACAATTTTTATGTCATCTCTGATCTGCTGCTAACCCATTGAGGTTTGTTTATTTCTCAAATTTAAGAATTGTATTTTCCACTTGGTTTTTTATCATTTCTATTCTGTGCTAAGATTTTCTATTCATTAATTATGAGCATATTTTTAAGCATAGCTATCATAACTGTCCTGAAATCCTTGTCTTCTTTTTTTTTCAGATTTTCATGTCAATATAATTTTCTTTTATTTTACTTTAAGTTCTGGAATACAAGTGCAGGATGTGCAGGTTTGTTGCATGTGCCGTGGTGGTTTGCTGCACCTATCAACCCATCATCTAGGTTTTAAGCCCTGCGTGCATTAGCTGTTTGTCCTAATGCTCTCTCTCCCCTCGCTCCCCAGCCCCCAGTTGGCCCTGATGTGTGTTGTTCCCCTCCCTGGGTTCATGTGTTCTCATCGTTCAACTCCCACTTATGAGTGATAACATGCGGTGTTTGATTTTCTGGTTTCCTGTGTTAGTTTGCTGAGTATGATGGCTTCCAGCTTCATCTATGTCCCTGCAAAGGACATGGTCTCATTCCCTTTTATGGCTGCATAGTATTCCATGGTGTATATATACATTTTCTTTAACCAGTCTATCATTGATGGGTGTTTGTGTTGGTTACATACCTTTGCTATTGTAAATAGTGCTGCAGTAAACATACATGTGCAGGTGTCTTTATAGTAGAATGATTTATATTCCTTTAGGTACATACCCAGAAATGGGATTGCTGGGTCAAATGGTATTTTTGGTTCTAATATCCTTGAGGAATCGCCACACTGTCTTTCACAATGGTTGAACTAATTTACATTCCCATCAACAGTGTAAAAGTGCTCCTGTTTCTCCACAGCCTTACCAGCATTTATTGTTTTGTGACTTTAATAATTGCCATTCTGACTGGCATGAGATGGTATCTCATTATGGTTTTCATTTGTATTTCTCTAATGATCAGTGATGTTGAGCTTTTTTTCATGTGTTTGTTGGCCATGTAAATGTCTTCTTTTGAGAAGCGTCTGTTCATATCCTTTGCCCACTTTTTGATTTTTTTTTTTTTCTTGTAAACTTGTTTGTTTTTTGTAGATTCTGGATATTAGACCTTTGTCAGATGGGTAGATTGCAAACATTTTCTCCCATTCTGTAGGTTTCCTGTTCAGTCCAGTGATAGTTTCTTTTGCTGTATAGAAGCTCTTTAGTTTAATTAGATCCCATTTGCCAATTTTGGCTTTTGTTGCAATTGCTTTTGGCATTTTTGTCATGAAATCTTTGCCCGTGCCCTGAATGTTATTGCCTAGGTTTTCTTCTAGGGTTTTTATGGTTTTGGGTTTTACATTTAAGTCTTTAATCCATCTTGAGTTAATGTTTGTATACACTGTAAGGAAAGGGTCCAGTTTCAGTTTTCTGCATATGGCTAGCTAGTTTTCCCAGCACCATTTATTAAATAGGGAATCCTTTTATTAAAGGAATTCTTTATTAAAGGGGAATCCTATCCCCATTGCTTGTTTTTTTCTGGTTTGTCAAAGATCAGATGGTTGTAGATGTGTGGTGTTATTTCTGAGGTCTCCATTCTGGTCCATTGGTCAATATGTCTGTTTTGGTACCAGTACCATGCTGTTTTGGTTACCGTAGCCTTGTAGTATAGTTTAAAGTTAGGTAGTGTGATGCCTCCAGCTTTGTTCTTTTTGCTTAGGATTGTCTGGGCTATATGGGCTCTTTTTTGGTTTCATGTAAAATTTAAAGTAGTTTTCTCTAATTCTGTGAAGAATGTCAGTGGTAGATTGATGAGAATAGCATTGAATCTATAAATTACTTTGGGTAGTATGGCCATTTTCATGATACCGATTCTTCCTATCCATGAGCATGGAATGTTTTTCCATTTGTTTCTGTCCTCTCTTATTTCCTTGAGCAGTGGTTGTAGTTCTCCTGAAAGAGATCCTTCACATCCCTTGTTAGCTGTATTCCTAGGTATTTTATTTTCTTTGTAGCAACTGTGAATGGGAGTTTATTAATGATTTGGCTCTCTGCTTGTCTATTGTTGGTGTATAGGAATGCTTGTGATTTTTGCACATCAAATTTGTTTGCTGAAGTTGCTTATCAGCTTCAGGAGTCTTTGGCCTGAGATGATGGGGTTTTCTAAATATAGAATCATGTCATCTGCAAACAGAGACAATTTGACTTCCTCTCTTCCTATTTGAATACCCTTTATTTCTTTCTCTTGCCTGATTGCCCTGGCCAGAACTTCCAGTAATACGTTGAATAGGAATTGTGAGAGAGGGCATCCTTGTCTTGTGCTGGTTTTCAAAGGGAATGCTTCCAGCTTTTGCCCATTCAGTATGATATTGGCTGTGAGTTTGTCATAAATAGCTCATATTATTTTGAGATATGTTCCATCAATACCTAGTTTATTGAAAGTTTTTAACATGAAGGGATGTTGAATTTTATTGAAAGCCTTTTCTGCATCTATTGAGATGATCATGTGGTTTTTATCATTGGTTCTATTTATGTGATGGATTATGTTTATTGATTTGCATATGTTGAACCAGCCTTGCACTGCAGGGATGAAGCCGACTTGATCGTGGTGGATAAGCTTTTTGATGTGCTGCTGGATTCGGTTTGCCAGTATTTTATTGACAATTTTGCATCGTAGTTCAACAGGAATATTGGCCTGAAGTTTCCTTTTTTTGTTGTGTCTCTGCCAGGTTTTGGTATCAGGATGATGGTGGCCTCATAAAATGAGTGAGGGAGGAGTCCCTCTTATTCAGTTGTTTGAAATAGTTTCAGAAGGAATGGTATGAGCTCTTCTTTGTATTTCTAGTAGAATTCAGCTATGAATCCCTCTGGTCCTGGGCCTTTTGTTGTTTTTTGTTTTTGGTAGGCTGTTAATTACTGCCTCAATTTCAGAACTTGTTATTAGTCTATTCAGGGATTCGACTTCTTCCTCGTTTATTCTTGGGAAGTGTATGTGTCCAGGAATTTATCCATTTCTTCTAGATTTTGTAGTTTATTTGCATGGAGGTGTTTATGGTATTCTCTGATGGTAGTTTGTATTTCTGTGGGGTCAGTGATGAAAATATCCCTTTTATAATTTTTTATTGTATCTGTTTGATTCTTCTCTGTTTTCTACTTTATTAGTCTAGCTAGCGGTCTATTTATTTTCTTAATTTTTTAAAAAAACCCAGCTCCTGGATTCATGGATTTTTTTGAAGGGTTTTTTCGTCTCTATATCTCCTTCATTCTGCTCTTAGTTATTTCTTGTCTTCTGCTAGATTTTGGATTTGTTTGCCTTTGCTTCTCTAGCTCTTTTAATTGTGATGTTAGGGTGTCGATTTGAGATCTTTCTAGCTTTCTTATGTGGGCAATTAGTGCTATAAATTTCCCTCTTATCACTGCTTTAGCTGTGTCCCAGAGATTCTGGTACACTGTCTTTTTGTTTTCATTGGTGTCAAAGAACTTCTTTATTTCTGCCTTAATTTCATTATTTACCCAGAAGTCATTGTCATTCAGGAGCATGTTCAATTTCCATGTAGTTGTGTGATTTGAGTGAGTTTCTTTTTTCTTTATCTTTCCTTCCTCCCTCCCTCCCTCCCTCCCTCCCTCCCTCCTCTTTCTTTCTTTCTTTCTTTCTTTCTTTCTTTCTTTCTTTCTTTCTTTCTTTCTTTCTTTCTTTCTTTCTTTCT